CAGCAGGGCTGTATAGGGATGGGATGGCACAAGCCCCCCAGGGATGGGGCTTCTCTTCCCCTCCACCTTGTACAGTTCCCAGCCCCTTCTGCTCTCTTCTCTCCTCCCCCCCCCCCCTCCATATTCAGGGACTGCAGCCCGAGAGCAGCTTACCTGCATGAAGAAGGCTCTGAGGGTGGACTTCCCCATACCAAACTGGTTGGACACTCCCTGGTAACCGTCTGGGGTGGCTAGCTTCCAAAGGGTGATGGCAGCCTGCTTCTCCAGGTGGATGGGGGGCCGCAGGTGGGTGTTGCATCTCCGGAGGGCCGGGGTAAGCCAGGCACACAGCTCCAAAAAGGTGGCCTTCCACATGTGGAAGATTTTAGAGCCACTGCTGGTCGTCCCACCAGTCGGAACTGGTGTCCAGCCTCCAAAACCACGTCTCCACAGTGGACTGCGGTTGCCGGAGTGTAGCAGCTGCTCCCAGGGAGAGGGACTTGAGGTTGTGGTCAGGGGTCAAGCTCCTACAGGAGTAGCATGGCAGCATGAATCACTTGCTGCACAAACTGCAGCATAGCCATGGGGGGCCAGGACATGCCCAGGCCAGCTCTGGCTCCACGGCACAAGGGGAAAAAGCTGTGGCATCCAAAAAAGCACCGGGCAACCACAGCAGGTACTGCTAGAGCTTTCCTGTCCCTCAAAGAGGTAGTAAGCATGCAGAAGCAGCAGAGAAATGGCTGTCTAGGGGGTCCCTTTAAGCACATGTCTCTGCAAGGCTCCAGCACCAGCCCTCAGAAGCAAGGGTCACCTTAAGCCCTGCTTGAAATGTTTCTGGGTGGCCTTTTTTGTGAGAGCATCCATACAGTCTGGATGCTCTCTTGCGCAAAAGCACATCGCTTTTTCAATGCGCTTTTGTAGTGTGGACGCGCTCTTGTGCAAGAAGATTTTGTAGAAGATCTCTTCCACAAAAAGTTTCTTGTGCAAGAATCCTGCAGTGTAGACATAGTCTAAGAGTAAGGTGAATGGGATTTCTTTATTCTACTCCATTGGAAGGTAGAATTTCTCTATCATAAAATTTTATTTGATCAAGCCAGAACCATTCCCTCTAACTCAGTAGGTAAAATATTTCACAGTTCTGACAAAGCTATGAGAGTAAGAGCATTATGCTGGTTTCCGTTATAAACTCCACTAATATCTCAGGCTGGATGCACACTTATGGCTGCTTTATAGCAAATATGTTAAAAGAGTCTTTCCATTTTTAGGTAAAGCTCTCAGAACAGAATATCTTGGTTTTAAATTCTGTATTGTAGGTAAGAACTTTAATTCTTTACTTTTAGACTAAGCTAGTTTTCTCCTAATTTGAAAAATTAATGTACCCTAGATAAGGTAGTGTCTAAGTATAAAAATGGTCAATATATTGCAATTTCTCTGCAGGAAAGAAAATTTCTTTTTAGAAAGGGCAAATGACAACTTGTGGGGAGGGATAGCTCAGTGGTTTGAGCATTGGTCTGCTAAATCCAGGGTTGAGTTCAATCCTTGAGGGAGCCATTTAGGGATCTGGGGAGAATCTGTCAGGGATGGTACTTGATCCTGCCATGAGGGTGGGGGACTGGACTCAATGACCTCTGAAGGTCCTTTCCACTTCTATGAGATCAGTATATCTCCATATTAATTAATTAAAAGTTTGTAGTTATCCAGTTACTAAATTATTTGAACTTTTAAAGAACAAAGATAGAGATGAATTGGTGCCAAAATTGTGACTCATACAAGCAATTTCTTTTTTTCTTGATGGGTTTTCTCACCCAAATCACATAAGAGTTTGGTGATTAACAATGTCTGCAAAAACAAAAATGAAACCAGTGTCCTGTTATCATAATAAAATAGAGGAATGTGAATATTCTGGTTAATGTTGAGAGGGGAAGCATTAGGGACTATTCCAGACTTGGGAAGAAAGCCACCATTTCTCTTCTTTGGTATGAGCTTGTACGTGATTTCCACTAATGCTTCTTTAGGAAGAAGAGTGTCTCTGTTTGATGTGCAACTGTCATCTGAAACATCAGTATTTTAAGAAGATCTGCTGCAAGAGTGGGAGGGGTTCCACCTTGGGGACATGGTGCTGAAGGAAATACAGTCTGAAGGCATGTTCTGGAGACCAATCAGGAGAAGCTCCTGGGAGACTCAATCAGCTTGCCTATTTTGACTTGTTGTAACCAACAAAAGAATACTGATGGGTTCTTTGTGCTGCTCTCCTGAAGAGACTGGACGTGCGGTTGAGGGAGTTTCCATACTTCTCAATTATTGTGTGAGCTGGGGCTGACAAAATACCTTTTCTGCTGACCTGTGTTGGCACCTGCCACCTTCTCTTTATGCAGGAGTTGATCGCTGCAGATAGCAGGAGGGAAAGGGTGTGCTAGAGAGGAGATTAAATAGTTTCAAGATAAAATAGTCTGTGGTTTGCCTTTGCCTTCCATTCTTCTTTGTCTCTTAGAGCTTAACTTGCAAAACATTTAACATTTATTTAAGAAGTTAAACACTTGCAAGAAGAGCTCATAATATCAGCATTACCAAAGTTACATGAACATTTATTTCCTCCTGAAACTTTCCATTTTGTTTCCGCCCAAAGATAGAAAACTACTTTAGAAAAACCTAAGCACAATTTATCAAGATGATGATAGATTTTCTAAAACAAGCTCAAAAGTACCATCCAATAACAAATTGAAACTTTCTTACCCTAAAGAAAATTTAGCCCTTTACTTTCAGAAACTAAGAATGGATGTAATAATATGATTTGCAACAAGCTTGTTTCCAGGGAGCCAGACAGAAAAAATGTTTCAGGTATGTCAGTCAAGTATAAGGGAGCTATACTGCACTGGTCACTCTAATTGCTATTTGCTGAGTTAATTTTATATGGTAGCTGAAGGCTGAGGAGGATGTTGAACAAAAGAAGAAAATGGATAAGGAGAAGAATAGATATCTTGGGTGGAGAGAGACAATGTAGCTGTGTCTTGGTAAGAGAATTGTGGGATACAATAAATGTCATGTAGAAATTCACAGGATAAAATTAACTCATCTAGACCTTTATTAGAATGATCTGCCTTAAAAGGAGAATGTTTCCTGCTTCCAGTCCATAAGAATGGAGAGTCTTGTTCTTTCTGTTTTTTAAAGCAGGTTATGGTTGCTAAAACTGATCTTATAAAATATAACATTCAATAGGGTATCTCCCCCAAGGTCCTGGGGTGCTGGAACAGTACGTGTAGTGGGGGTGCGGGAGCCATTGAACCACCCTGTCAATCTTCTATATGATTTAAACCACGGTGTGCTGTAGCATCCCTTGTTCTAGCACTTATGCCAAGGCCTGGCTTGCCTCAAAGTATAAGGTGAAGTTTGGAGCTTAAAAATATGGCTACAAATTTCATGCTACATTTCTTACTGCCATCAAAATATTGGAGAAAAAGGTTGAATTGGAACAAAATTTTGTGTCTGGGATGTCTTGGTGTTGATATTTCAATCAGAAAGAATGTGGGTTGGCTCTTGTCGAGTTTTGAGGCCCACAGAAAAGCCATTGTAATATTTGTTAAAGGAATACATTGCATATCACATGGAATCATTTTGAAACAATAAACATGGAAGCCTCATGATGGCCTTCTTAAAAAAAAAAAAAGACTATTTTATGAAGAACTTGAAATTTACCTATTCTCAATCTGTCAATAACAGAATGGACAGTCGAAAGTCAGTGGAACATAATGCTCTCACTTTTGCTTAATAAATCCTAAACACAAAGTAGAATTTCATATTACAAAGAGTCATTTTGTCAGAGTCCTGTGTTTATGGAAAATCTGTCTCCCACTAATCCTTTTCTGCTCTATTGCAAGGAAAGGTGAATTCCTTCCTCTTAGGCAACATTTTTCATACTGAAGTGGTGAACTTTCAGAACAATGAAGTGCTAGGTTAGTGTCCAAAGCATAGTCCTTGGTTAACCATTACATGCCCTGGTTCTGAACAAGCAAGAAAATCCTGAGGGCCAGGCCGAGGCATAGAAGTGAACCACTGCAGAAAAATATATCCCAAACATGTTGGTAGCGAAAGGGAGGGGAAAATCTACAAAGACTGGTGCTGCAATTAAGCAGTATTTCTACTCGTTATCTTGCTTTCCATTCTCCACAGAAGTGACCCTGGGCCTTGCTTGACTAAGATTTCGGAGATTAGCCCAGATATAATGCCTGATTCAGTAACAACTGTTGGCACAGCTGGCTGTCACTATTCAAAAGAAATCTGTGGAAATCAAATTTTCATTTCTTTAGATAGGGAGGGGCCCTATGACATGCTCAGGAGTGTATGAAAAGTGTAATATTCTATGATAAAAATTTGACATTTTCTGCTGGATTTGGCTAGCTTGAGAAATAGCAAGTGTATATATTTTTAAATGTAGACGATTAAGAGTTCAGGGGGAACATGCATTCTATTATAAAATCCCATGCTTGAATGTGCACATTGGGAAATTACTCATTCAGTGACCTGACTGGCATGTGCACGTGGTTCAAATGTTGCACAGTAATCTGAAAATTTAAGTCATAAAAGCCTAACATTCCAAAAGACTTAATAGTGCTCCAAAGACTTGCAGAGTTCTGTTCTTCCATACTTTATCTTTTCCATGGTATGACTGGCTTATTTGAGTGTGGCTGTACTAAAAGTAAATCTAGTTCTGGATTGTGTGCATGGTGGTAGACTAGAAACAAAACTCTTCGGTACATGTACCCACTTCGCTAATATAATGGTAAAGTGCACAGGTCACTTTGGACTTTCCACTTTAAGAATTAGATTATACAGTTTGAGAGGGTACTTTTTCAACAGGATAATATTAGCTGCTCTTTTAAAACGAAGGGGAAATGTTGGCCTATATTACTTAATTGGGCAAATATTCCTTCAGAAAATGGCATTTTGGTAAGTTTAATCTTGTCAAAGAAACTTCTTTCCAACAGTTCTGACTTGTGTATTTTTTTTCCTCTACACTTCTATAGGTCTGGGTTGTTCTGCCTTCCACCAACTTCGCTGCCAAAACAAGAGGAACCTCCTGCTGATGCTTGCACTAACTGGGTTCCTGAAGGCAGACAGCCAGTGAAGGGTGAGGCTGAGTCACAGCTTTCTAGTGAAAAACCTCCCAAAGGAAACAGTGATGAACAGGTTCCTCCTCTTTTGCCACCTCCATCTCCAGGCAGCGTTCCTCCTTACCCTCCCTATTTTGAGGGAGCTCCTTTTCCTCCTCCCTTATGGTTAAGATACACATATAACCAATGGATTCCTCAGCCACCACCAAGGACTATAAAGAGGACAAAAAGACGGTTGTCACGAAATAGAGACCCAGGAAGGCTTATCATGAGTACTATTAGACTGAGGCCCAGGCAAGTGCTCTGTGAAAAATGTAAAAACACTCTGAACCCAGAGGAAGCAAACAAAGCCAGGCAAAATGCTAAAACTAGGAGGAAACTAAGCATTCAGGACAAAGAGGAAAAAAAGCACAGTGATTCTGATTATATAGAGAAAAGGAACAAAAGAGAAAAGAGAGAGGAAGACAAATTTTCTGGGGAATTGGTGCATCGAACTCCAGTTATAAAAATATCTTATAGCACACCTCAAGGTAAAGGCGAAGTTGTAAAAATTCCCTCCCGGATTCATGGCTCAGTTAAACCATTTTGTTCACAGCGGATATTGCAGAATGGAGGGGAGGACCAAGAGGAGAACAGAGACTCTGAACGATGTCAGGAAACCAAATGTTTTATGGATAAGTCAGCAAGCAGCCAACTTGCTTCCATTCCAAAACTGAAGTTAACTAGGCCGGTGCATTCCAGTGCAGATGTTCCACCTCCAAAAATCAGACTGAAACCCCATCGAATAAATGATGGTCAGAGTGTTTCCATTTATAAAGCTGAACTTATTGATGAGATAAATGTCCTTCAGAGTAGCAGGGAGTCCAATCCTGCTGCATTTTACACTGATGAATCTGCAGATAGAAGTTTAGCAGAGATGTCTTCAGGGAGTTCAGGTGAAGATGACGACTTCAAAAGATTTTCCCAAGGTAAAGATGGACATGATAACTTGGCTTTTCTTATGAATTATCGTAAAAGGAAGGCAGATTCTTCCAGTTTATCAGTGTGTAGCAATGACAGTCTAGACGAATCCAAATCCTCTAGTTCAGAAGTAACATCACCAGAAATGTGTGACTTTTTACCTGGTGATGATGCGTCTGTCTCTTCATCTTCAAAAGATGAGCGTAAGATTGTGCCACCATTAACAGTTAGACTACATACACAGAGTGTCTCTAAATGTGTCACTGAAGATGGAAGAACTGTTTCAGTGGGGGATATTGTTTGGGGTAAAATTCATGGTTTTCCATGGTGGCCAGCACGTGTTCTTGACATAAACCTTAGCCAGAAGGAAAATGGAGAACCTTCCTGGCGAGAAGCTAAAGTATCGTGGTTTGGTTCTCCAACAACCTCATTCTTATCTGTTTCAAAACTCTCTCCTTTCTCTGAATCTTTCAAACTGAGATTTAATCGTAAGAAGAAAGGGATGTATCGGAAAGCTATTTCAGAAGCTGCAAAGGCAGTAGAGCATCTGACCCCAGAAATAAGAGATCTCTTAACACAGTTTGAAACATAACTTTGCCTCCAGTACCAGGTGAGTGCATAGTGGACTGATGCTTCCTGAACTATCATTCTTGTACAGATTGCATTTGTCTTATTGTCATGTCTGTTCTTATTTTACTTTTTGTCTTTTTGAGTTGCCCAAAAGATATGGGTTGAACTTCTTAAATACGGGTTTCTGGGCCTTTGAATAAGTGACATTACAGAGGGGTGAGAACTTCCAGCTCCCATTGACTAAAGTGAATTTCACAGGAAGCAGTCCTTAATTCTACTATGGGATTATGAGTCAATTTATAGTTGTGGGGAAAGGTGCATTGTTGTTCAGAGTGTCTATATACTATCTCCTGACCAGGTTTGCTAATGAAAGAGCCAGTGTACCATCTGGACAGATGAGGGCCCAGATGTGTAATACCCACGTTTAGAATCCCATGTTATGTGAGAAGCAGACTCCTTCAGTCTTGTTTTGACTCTGATAATGACCTTGTAGTAAGTGACTTGTTTTGCCATCTAAGTACCTATGGTTGTAATAATTGCCTATGATGAAAGGGTGTAATGGCTACTGACAGACAGTATCATGTGTTAAAATGTATCCTGCTGTGTCTACAGACCTAGTGGCTCCCTAAACTACTACCTGCTTTGGTAAACTGTCCTGTGGAAAAACACTTTTCTAAATAACTTCATGCATGCACTAGGGCTACCTCTACACTGAGTTTTCTTTGCAAAAAATATGCTAATGAGGGACTCATGCCAATCCATTTTTGCACTGGGGTATTTTGCGCAAAAGCAAACAGTGTAGATGTTTTCTTTTTGCGCAAAAATACCTTTTCCCGCAAGATCCTTGGACGTTTTCTTTTTGTGCAAAAAACCCTTTTTCCACAAGATCGGTACACCTTTTTTTGGGGGGGGGCATAAGGATCTTGTGGAAAAAGGGGGTTTTGCACAAAAGAAAATGTTCACGCTGCTTGTTTTTGCACAAAAACCCCAGCGCAGAAACAGATCGGCAGAAAATATGCAAATGAGATTGCGACTCATTCAAGTGAGTCCCTAATTAGCATATTTTTGCCGAGAACTCAGTGTAGACGTAGCCTAGGAAAAGTAGCTTTAGTAATCAAAGATGCTCACAAGCCCTTTCTCTTTGTGCCTCCTTCTGCCAACACACACCTCACTTCATTCTTCTTGAAATCTGACAGTCTGCTAGCTTTAGTTTCCTTCTGCAGAAGACATTCTCTTGTCCAGATGTCTGACTTTTTTTTATTATTATTAACTAAACTGCATCAGACCATTTGTCCTGAAGCTGAGAACGAAACACTTGGTTTCTTTTTCTCTGATGATTTCCTGAAAGTACCATAGCCTGAGTACTACTGAGAGATAGTGGAAAGACATCAACAAAGGAATCACTTCTTAGGAACAGCTGAGAGCATATTATTGGTTCTCCTGTGTGACTGAAAAAGCGGTGCTTTTCCCCTCCCTTCTAAGCTGTAATATGCATATCTGTTGTGATCAGTTTTCAGTGTTTAAGTTTATTCTACATTTTATAATTTTAAATTGCTTTTATTATTTTAATTGTGATCTCCATTTTGTAAAGTCTACCCCTGCTCCAGCTGAAGTTAGTGGCAAAACTGCCAGTGACACTGAATAAGATCAAGATTTATCTCTTGGCATGCTGCTAGTAGTGGCTGTTCAGCTAAACAAGACCACATCCATGACATTTACAGTTTGGCACCCCAGTGAAAGATTGTTAAACCAGGATAGAAACTTATTTTTTTCCTCTGCATCAGAATTGTGATTTAAGTCTTTCCTTTATTAAAATCTAGTTTTGTGCTCTGGCTCCCATAGAACTCAGTATTGGTTCATTAGTTTGTCTCATATTTCCTTCATTTGCCTAACTTCCCCCCACTCCAAGTTTCTAGCATAAAGAAGCTTGCTCATGGTTATATCAGTATCTGTCTCCACACTTCAGATATTGGGACTGAAATAGTAAATGTTTGTACAATCCCAAGGTGGCCAGGTTTGATTTGAAGAAAATTAAAGGGAAATTCTGCTGACTATTTTTGCAAACTCGTTTTGTAGAGTTAAATCTCCAAAAACAAACTGACACACATTGGATGTTCTTTCATCCTCCATCAGATGTCACCAGCTCATTTACTTGAATATAATATAGACCCAGAATTCTCACTCTTTCTTTACACCATGACCATTGTGCCAAATTCCTTGCTTCTCCTAGGTAAAAAACTGAATTCAGTTTAGTAAAGCCTTACTGCATTTGTGAAATTAATTTTTGCCTCTTTATCCATGTGCCTTATCTGACTTACCTTTTCAGTCTCTCTGGTAAAATTATCTGTTGGTCACCACAAGAAAATACTAACAGTTGTCAACAACTATCTGATAACAGCACTACAAAATAATTCTATACTGACCATGGGGTAGCTATCACATCTGATAACTTGTCAGGAGGGAAAGGGGCAAAAGATCAGAGGTTGTTATTACTTGGATCTGCAATGTGACAATGTCTTCCAGTACATTGTACTGCTCCTACACTGAATATGCTTGTTTGTGCCTCCCCCTTCCCCCCCATCATGTTGTAATTTTTGACATGCATCAGTTTGTGAAAGCAACTTGCTCATTATACCTTATTTGAATACCTTGCCTGAAACAGAGTTCCAGTGCTCTCTGAGAATTTTCTTGAGCGAGAGCTGACGTCTTCACACCACTTTTTGGTAACTGACTTTTTTCCCATTTTATAGTTGCTATAGCTCACGCTGGCTTAATTACAGTTACAATCAGTGGTGCCAGAAACAACTTGTTTGTGTTGTAAATCAAACTGTCTCTGGATTTTGAGGGATGTTCAGAGGTGGCAGGTTTTTTTTTTTAATGTCTCTCTGATATGATACTTTAATAAGATTATGTATACATATTTGTAGTCACACTTTTTGTGCCACTGCAAAAATGATCTCAGTAGTAGTTCTAAAGGGGGATTTGTTTACAAACAACATCCAAAAATCTAATAGAATCACGTGTTTGTTTACAATGAAAGAAATTTGTATGGTCAAATTCAAACAGTCATTCACCTGTCAGAAGTGTTCTACTGTTAACCTTCTGCAATCTCTTCCATGGCTTCTGGCCTGCAGGGGCTGAAGAACATGCAGGATAGTTACTGAAGACATCAGTAGATTGTCTACAAATGCAAAATAAGCTGAATGTGTGAATTCACTTAAAACTAAAGCTGATCAAATACTGACCATATGTGAATGCATTTGTTTAACCAACTATTACAAAACAAAGTTTTCAGTTAGCAAGGTTTAATTAGCCCTACTTTTTGCTTCCCCTGCGAAGTGTACTTCATGGGTGGAGAGTTGAAACCTGATCATTAAATTGCCAGTAAAAATACGACCACAGGAAAAGACTAGGCAGAGTAGTAACCCGTAAAATGCAATTTCATAAGACACTCTTGATTCAGCAGATAGCAAGGAAAAAAATCTCCCACTAAACATGTTCCAATGCATTTTTGCAGCTGTCATTAATATATAAGCATAATTTGCTGTTTGATAACTGCTGGCTTCATGAAAGTCTGTTGCACTGTAACTAAATGCTTGTAATATGCAGACTTCAGTGGTGTGTTGGTAAGGATTAAAACTCAGACCAGCATGGTTGACTTTGCTTTTAAGAGTATAGGCCTTAATAACTGTTACTGAAAATTACTTATGTAAGTTCTGAAAATAATGGGAGAATCAGAATAGTGGATGACATTTAACCTTAAATCTATACCTCTATTTTCAGAAGGCCTTTTTGAATTCTTCTGTAGAGCATTTTACCAAAGGCCATGTTGTAAAACAGATGTGAGCAAAATATGGCTGTGGGCTACATCCGGCCTGCCAAGCCACCAGATCTGGCCCACAGAGGCAGCAGGGAGCCCCAGGCAGACTCCCCTGCTTGCCCCGCAGACCTGCACACCATGCAGAAACACTGTTTCAAACCAGCCAATGGGAGCTGACTGTTTGATAACAGGCAGCCAAGAAGAACCACGCCTCCTCTCCTCGAGCCACAGCCTGCCTCTGGCACCCCAACCCCTCCCTGTCCTAACCTTCTGTCCTCCCCTCCCCCTGCCCTCAACATACCCAAACCCTCGGTCCCCCTCTTGCACCCATATCCTTTCCCAGATCTGGCACCACCCCCTGCCTCTGGCACCCCAACCCCTCCCTGTCCTAACCTTCTGTCCTCCCCTCCCCCTGCCCTCAACATACCCAAACCCTCGGTCCCCCTCTTGCACCCATATCCTTTCCCAGATCTGGCACCTGAATCACCTGTCCCGGATCACAATCCTGCACCCATATCCTTTCCCAGATCTGGCCCCCCAATCTCCTGTCCTGGATCACAGTCCCTTCCTACCCTAGCTCACATCCTGAACCTCTGCGCTCCAGTCCCCTGCCCTAGGTCACAACCGCCTCCTTCACCCAAACTCCCAGACTCCAGTCTCCCTTCTGCACCCATCCTCCATCCAAGACCCCACATCTCCTGCATTAATATCCTGGAAGAGTGCGGTCCTTAACCACTTTCCAAAATCTTGGCGTGGATCGCAGTCAAATTATTGCCTACCCCTATTGTAAAAGGAAGGGCTTACTGATGATTGGGAGCCAAAATGCAATCAGGTCTTTTTGTCCAGATTGCTTTTAAATGCAGACATCCTTGGGGGTAAAGGAAGTGGGAGAAAAGTGTGAGAAGATATCACCTCAAACTGTAATCTGTGAAAGATGGCAAGTATGTATCTGGATTTGTCTTGAATAAAGGCAAGCCTGAATGCACTTGCACAAGTCCCAAGTGGGGTAGAAGTTGCACTGCTATTACTTCTGGCATAGTTTACTTATAAGCAAGCTTACAGCAATTCTTGGTTCTGCCACTTTTAGATTACTTGAGCAAAA